CCCGCCCCGTTGCTCCGGCTGCTGCTAGCTCTTATCTGCCTTGGCTTCCATCCCGTGTTCTAGAATTACCCTTTCCCCTCAGAAAAGAATTCAGAGTTTCAACATTAGCAAAGTTTATCACCAGGCCAGACTTTAGACTCCTCTAGGGCAATACACTAAAAATAACTTCATTGTTCAGGGATATGTAGAATACTTCTCTATATGAGCAAGGTTCTGAAACAATATAAAATATGGCATTGCTATCAAAACGATCCCCAGTGTCTGGAGGGAAGACAAATACTTTGACCTGCAAAAACTACATTTCATATGGACACATAATATAGACACATAAGCAGTGGTTAGATCTAGGTAGCAAGATTTTAATTTTGTTCCAATGCTTTATCTATATCTGATTTTCTACAATAAACACATACTACTTCTATAATAATAAAAAATAGGTTATTAAAAACAAAACAACTGAAATGGCTTGAATTCAGCTCACAAAGATTTGGGTGGCAAATATCATTTACACCCTGCCACTACTAATTTTCTCATGGAATGCTCAGAGGCCAGCACATTCTTTTTGGAACACTAAAGGCAGTAAGTACCAGGACGTAAGATGTCTTTGCTTATACCAGTTAAACAAAATGCACATGGGCACCGTGGACTGCAGAACTGGAAACAGAATTCTGTAAACACCCAAAGCTAATATTAATCATAGCAAAGAAATACAAATCTCTAACCTTAGTCTGGTTTTACAAATGTACCACCTTAAAAGGAAAAGTACATAGAATAGGGGCTGTCAGGAGCTGGGGAGAGGAGGGAATGGGGAGCACTTGTTTAATGGGGATTAAAGTTTCAGTTTAGGATGATGAAAAAGCTCTAGAGAGGAGAAGTAGTAATGGTTGCACACCAATGGGAATGTAATGTCTCTGAACTATACACTTAAAAATGGGAAAAGTGGCCCTGGCCAGTTTGGTTTAGTGGTTAGAGCATCGACCTACAGGTCTCAGGTTGATTCCAGTCAAGGGCATGTACCTCAGCTGCAGGCTCGATCCCCAGCGCCTGATCAGGGCGTGCGCAGAGGGCAACCAATCGATGTCTCTCTCACATTGATGTCTCTCTCTCTTCTCTCTCTCTCTCCCTCCCCCACCCTCTGAAAAGCAATGGAAAAATCCTCAGGTGAGTATTTTAAAAAGGGGGGGAAATGGGAAATGTTATCTTATGTATGTATATGTTATCACAATAAAAAAAGAAAAGTACATTTATTGGTACTCCTGAGAGTTCCCTGGAATAGGTCACTTCACCTGGAAGGACAGGCTGGTGGGCACCACTGAGTTTTTATATAAACTGCAAATCCAGAAAAATCAACATAAGCAGTAACAGTTACACAAGAATCCTATTATAATAGGACTTTACCAGTCAGAAGACAATGTCCCACTTCCCATTTAAACAAATTTTTGAAATCAGAACCAAATCAAAAGGCAAGAAATTAGTCTAATCATCAGCATGAGTTCCAAAGCTAGTGAACCTCCATTATACCTTCACAGAGAAGACAGTATACTTACTCTCTGGTTGGAAGACAAACTCATATACCCAGACTATCAGCAGGGTCCACACGACACTCATTGCAATTAGCTGCCAGGGCTCATACTTGGTGCAATGACCATTTATGTAATTCTTGGCCTTTGTGGAATACACTTCCAAAATCTCAAAGTAGGGCTCAAAGGCCTTCTAGAATACAAGAGAAAAAAGAAATATTACTTTCAGGGAGAGAAAGGAAGTCTGTTCTTAGTTTGTTCTTTAACTCTCATTTTTCAAGGGCAAGGCCACTCATGATCTGGCCCTACCCCAGCAATAATTTTATCACCCTCTAACGTCCTCAAAGCTCCTGCTCCTTTCACTCTGGTGTACACTGCCCCTTACAAGTCATGTGGACTTTGACAAGATTTCTAATCTTCTGACTATTCTGTAAAATGTAAGTTAAGCCAGATCATCATTTCAGCTCTAAAACTTCTGTAATGACTATAGTATTCACCACCCTACTCTCTTAACTCAAGCTAACCCTCTCAATATGAATGTCTTTCTCTTCTTCTCAACTTTATTTGAATCTTTCCCACACTTTAATCCAGGGTTGGCAGACTGTTTCTGTAAAAGAGTAAATACTTCAGGCATCGCAGGCCAGTAACTGTTGTAACTACTCAGCTTTGCTACTGTAGCACAAATGCAGTCAAAACAAAAGAACAGGGCTGTGTTCCATCAAAATTTAATTATAGATGCTAAAATTTGAATTTCATATAATTTCACATATCACCAAATATTGCTTCTATAAAAACGTAAAATATCATCCTTAGCTCATGGGCTGTACAAAAATGGGCAGCAGGTCTGATTTGGCCAATAGGCCATAGACTGCAAACTCTGCTCTAAGGCCCTATTTGACTAAAAAACTTTGAGAGCCAGGGACGTATCTCATCACTATGTGTATCCCTCACAAACAAGAAAAAAGTCCTCTCATGTGAAAATTTACCAGAATATCCCAATCATAAGAATTCACCTCTCCCTTTAAATTCTCAAGTACTCGTTTGTGCCTCTATACAGAGGTTATCACGAATCACCTTGCAGTCTACTCATCTGTTTCTTATCTCCCTGACTACATGGTTAGTCCTTGAAGACAGATCTTAGTCATATTTACAAGCCCCCGTGTGCCCTGTACAAAATAAGTTCATCTGATAGTTTGTTACTCATTCACTTACTCAACATTTATTAGGCATCTCCAGTGTTTAAGGCATTAAGCTGGGGGAACATCAAGGTAAATGTCACAGGTGCCCCTACTGAGCTTATACTCTAATGGGTGAGGCGATGTGTGTATGCACATATGCACACATATGCATATACACATACATGCATACACAAGCCCACACAAGTATAAACAAACAATTCAAACTCTTGAGCATAAATACTATAAAAAGGATGTGAGTGCTGAGAGAGACCACTGAGGAAGGCCTACCTAACTCTACCTAAGAGGAGATGAGGGTGACATTACAAGATAAAATCTAAGCTGGCTAAAAAGGTAAAAGAACGATCACAGAAAATTCTCTAGGGAGAAAAGTTAAAGGAAAATAAGCCATACCAGGAAGAGAGAAAAGTAGCTGCAATGCCTAAAAAAGAATCTGGGAATGGCAAAAAGTCTGTGTGAGAGGAGAGTAAGCTAGATGACAGCAGGGACCCTATCTGCCTAACCGGGTACTAAATCCCCAATGTATAGGAGAGTGCCTGGCACACAATTTGTAGTGAATAAAAACTAGGACAGTGGATGACAGAAAATGAGTAAATACGTCAATCAGAGCACCCAGGCTGGGAGAAGTACACTAAGTTCAGATTACAAATGGTCATGAAAAAAAAAAAGGCATGGAAAGTCAGAGTATAAACTGATAGGCGCTTTTTGTAAAGTGATTTGCCAGTGTATGTTAACATTTTAAATGTGTATTCGTTTTGACCCAGAAATTCCACTTTTTGGTATCTTGCACTTATGTATGGACACTCACTTCAGTATTCTCTGTAATGAAAGAAAAATATAAATAATAAAAATGTCCATTTATAGAGGAATAGTTAAATAAACTATAATACAGTACACACTTTTTTTCAATCCTCACCAGAGGATATGTTTTTTATTGATTTTAGAGACAGAGAAGAGAGGGAAAGTGAGGGAGAGGGGGAGAGAAACATCGATGTGAGAGAAACATCAATCGGTTGCCTCCCATATGTACCCTGATCACAACCTAGGTATGTGCCCTGACCAGAAACTGAACCTGCAACCTTCTGGTGTAGGGACGATGCTCCAACCAACTGAGCCACCAGGCCAGGGCTATAATACACGCATTTTAATGCAGCATTAAAAAGAAGGTAAATTTGAATGAACTACACGGAAAAATTTCCACAATATAATGTTGAGGTAAAAAAAAGCAAATTGCAAAACAACAAAACAAAAGACATGGGTTGTTAATCAGAGAGTTAATTTTTCAAAAAAAGATAACTTGTTGGGAGATAAATAGAAGGAGAATGGAGATTGGAAATGAAAATTTTAGTTGAAGATGACTGAAACAGTCCAGGGGGAAAATAAACTAGGTTTGACCTTAAGCAGTACAACACTGGGGACAAAAAGCAGTATGGATTTGAAAAACATTTTTGGCGGTGGAACAAACAGGGTTTGATAACTTATTGGATATGGAAAGTATGGAGTGGGACGAGTACAGATAATTCCAAATGTTCAAGTGTGAGAGACTGAGCAAGAGGAGTCACAATTAACCACGGTAGACTAGAAAAGGAAGGGAAGTGGGAGAAGGTAGAAGAGATTCTGAGAAAAAGATAGTGCTAATTATATTTTGGTTATGTTCCTGTTGGATATCTACATGCAATGTTCTAATAGGTGCATGAAAGCTTAGGAGGACAGTTGCTCAACAAATGTTTGTTGAAAACATTTATACCCTTAGCAATTAGGCTGCAGTATAAGGCAATTAACTTTAGGAAAGTACTGGGTTCCCTAGAGGGCTATCCATGGAAACATGGCTTATCTACAACCTCCTTCTAGTTCTTGGTGACCATTCCCCAGAGCCCACTATTGCTATCAACAACCTCAATCCTGCACACCAGTGGCAGTGGCAGTGAAGACCTGAGGAAAGACCAGAGGAGTCCATCAGCAGCAGCGTTATTGTCATGATTCCCATCATTATAAAGAATCTTGTAGTGTTAAAGCTGTGATCAAACCAAATGGTTAAACAGTGTGGATGAATATGACGACAGAAGAACAATCATTCAGATCAGTTTTTCCTCTGGTGATATGGTTCCTACTTTATCCAGAAAATAGAGGTTATTACTAATGTCAAAAGATGACTGTAGATATTATCAACTCTTCCCAGCACTGAATAATAAAACAATATAACTAGTATTAGGGAGAGGGCAAAGAATCAGCAAATGCAAACTAATATAATTTTTTAAAGCCTATTAAGATATGAAGGTATTCCTTGCTAACATCTATAAAATTATACTTGGCAAGAATATATTTTCTTGGTAATTGCTACAAGAAGATAATGGGAGTCCTTGAATTCAAAGTCCTTAACAGTAGATATAGTTCTATATTCTCTTACTCCAAAGACAGAATGATACTGTACTTGGATGGATCCTAGCAAGCTTTTTGAGTAGGCAACTAATTGGTCACAGAAATTACATCTCCTGGCCTCATTCCAAGATCATTCTTGGTTACTACAAACAACCTAGGCTCAGCCCCCAATGAATTGAGTACCTCACAACACTCACAGGTCATTGCATTATAGGGCTCTGTGGGGTAATGTAGGCTATCTCCTTGGAAAAAAAGAACGAGGCAGTTCCTTGGGGCCTTGCAAATAGCACAAACCCCAGGATGGGTCCCGATGCAATACCCCAGCCCTTTGGGGAGCAACAATCTAAATGCTGAAGGGACCTTTGGAGGTCAAGCTCACATTTTCACTTTACAAACAGAGACTCAAACATGAAATGGCCTGCCTAAGCTTGACAGGCTTGTGTCAGAGCCTAGGAACCCAGGCCTCCTGACTCATTACTCAGTACTCTTCCAAGTCTTTATTTATTTCCAGTGTTCATTGGCAAACAACACATTATGATCCCGTGGCACCCCTAGAGTTTTCTTTTCACAATGTATGTTCTCTTGTAACTCCTGGCAAATTATTTCATCAGTCTGTGCCTCTAATTCTTTATCTAGACGGGACATAAAATAATCATCACAAAATAAATAAATTGTACCTGTATATGTGTCCATGAGTGTGTGGGGTGTTAGCTCCGCCCTTGCCTCACAAAACAGTAGTTGGGGTAAAATTTCCCCACAGAAAGTGTTCCTTCCTTCACACTTTATTATAAAATTGGAAATGAATTCCTCCAGAGAAAACAAAAATGTTTTGCCCAAAGTATGCAAAATGGCAGTAAGAATACCATCAATCTTTTGAAAGTATATTATTAAAGGGGGAAAAAAGAAGATAAACCTTAGTAGGATGAAGATTCAAAATATTAACTACTTTAAGAAGCTACTGTCAAATAATGATAATAAACTGCAGGCTTTCTCTTCTTTTTCTAATGATTTAGGTGTTTGCTGATGCCTAAAAAGCCAGAAAATAGTACTCTCCTAATCATTATTAGCTGCTAGGATTTAAGGGAGTTTAGTAGTCTTCTATTCCCAAACATAATGAACTCCTTCAGCGCCCAAATCACTTCAGGTAAGACACTTTCATGAATGTAACACAACAGTGGAAATCCACAAGTTCTGTAAATCTGGGGTATGTTACTTGTGAGACCCATGAGTTTCAAACGTTTCCAATACAGTCCCAACAGAAACATATTTTACAACACAATCTAGTACACAAAGCAACAAAAGGTATAAAACCAAACCAAAAGTTTCCAAAATAATACCAAGTACCTTACTTGTGATGCTCTCACATTTCTCTTCGTTCCTTCTTTTTTCAAATGCTTGACCCCACTAAATTGATTCTGTGTCCCTTTAAATCAGGGGTGGGAAGCCTTTTTTCTGCCGAGGGCCATTTGGATATTTATAACATCATTCTCGGGCCATAGAAAATTAACTTAAAAATTAGCTATGAAAAAGGCTCCTAGATTTACTGAATTTTGAGTCCGGTCTGCAGTTACCTTGGCAGGGCCAGACCAAATGATTTCAAGGCGTAGACTGGACATTC